CCCCAAAACCCCAAAACCCCAAAACCCCAAAACCCCAAAACCCCAAAACCCCTTTCACCAACTTTCAATTGCACTAAATGGTTTCACTTTACAATGTCTACTTTAAACATATCTTAATTTTCGCGATCAAAAACCTGAACAAATTTTGGCCCAAGGATTTGGGAATATACTGAAAAAGCTATGGAGGGCAGCTAGAAGTCACTTGGGTGGGGAAAAGGGGGAGGAAGGAAGAGGGGGTTAGAGGGGAGGTTAGTAGGGAGGTGGGTGGATTGTACTGAGTGGGTTAAGGATTCTGAGGGAATTTAGAGAGTAAGTTTTTTTGGGGGATTGAGAGGAGGGGTTAGTAGCTTGGAAGGGGGAGAAGTCTTTAGTTTGGGTCTTTCTTGATGTCTGTTTGTATTTTGGTATTAACTCTTACATTTGTTCATCACCAATTTATGATATGGATGTTTGAAAGATGGATGCACTAGCTAATAATATGTATAAACCTAGGTCTTTTTTAAGATGATGTTTGTATAATACATTTTTGAGCAAAAAGATGAATAAATAGATCTCTAGTTGATCTAAATAATCAAACCAAATATGATCTAGCCTCCTAATATAAGATTAACAAGAGCTGAATTCTTTTTCTCAATGTGAGAATGGCTCAAAATGTTTAGTGAATACAAGAGCCTCATCTTCAAAAGATATATCTGTGTAATGAGACTTGAAAAAAGACAAATAGCTTCTTTACGATTATTCTAAAGAGCTTTCCTACCCCAAGATGTATAGGTAACCTCCTAACAGTAATTGGCTATATTTAATGACCAAACTCTGAAATATTTTCGGAATTGTAATCACATAATTACATTTTTCGATACATTAAACCGCTATGAATTCTTCCACGGCATTTATTTGCATCTCCAGATATCCTTCTCTTAGCTGTGTTTTGAAGATTGTTGATCAAATTTAGGGAAAGAATCCAGAGGTAGAAGTCGAATGCCTTGGCTGGATATAGTAGCTTTACGTGTTTGGTTTTTGAGGAAGGATTTTCTCTTTCTAATCCCCTACTCTTCTTAGCATATTCATTAATGTCAACAGATTCAGATCTCTCAATTTGCTCGTATTTTGCTTTTGAATTTAGAGCTAAATCTGAGTTTAAAAAATCTATAGCAATACTCTTGTTAGCGTCCCTAGCCAATTCATTAGTAAAGTAAGTAGTAGCTCCTTTCTGCACCACTCCAGACGTGAACATTCTTGTTGCAAGTTCTCATCCTGTGCCTACTTCTCAGACTCCGGAGAAGTCCTTAGCGTTTGTGACTCCAGACAGGATAGCTGAGCTTTGAATGAAAATGTTTCTCAGGATACTATCAAATCTAGTGGCAGAGTCTCCTCATTCTTTGGCGTTACTATTGTTAATTTTCTTAGAATCCATTTAATTAATTATCGTTTTCATTAGCTGTATGCATATATGGGGTTTTGGGGTTTTGGGGTTTTGGGGTTTTGGGGTTTTGGGG